GAGGCCGGGCCCCGGGCGGCTCTGGAGCTCTGGCCGGTGACAGCGCTCTGCCCTGTCCCCAGCTGGGCCCAGGACCTCCTCCATGGAGACCCTGGGCCTGCGGGCCCCTGGGCAGGCAGCCGGCTGTCCGGAGGGAGCCCTGGCCTTTGCCCCTTTCCGGAGGACTCAGGTTTAAGGGTGCAAATGCCAGTATTAACGTATTTTCTTTTTTAAAATCAAGAAATATGTCGGTTTAGTTAATCCACAATGGTGACTGTATTTTTAAGTCTTACAGTTAATTTATTGAGGAAATAAAGGGCTCGTTATGCTTATAGGTGGCAGTTTTATTATGAACCCGAGTTGAGTGCTAGAGAAGCAGAATTGATGATTGAATATTATATCCTGGCCGTATGACTGTTACGGTGGGAGGTGGCACCCAACATCTATTTTTGGCATAACTTAGGCTGAATTGGTAATTAGGATAAGAATTATCATTCGTAAGTTAGAATTTTTTAAAAGATTTATAAAAATATTCGCGCATTAGTACCTCCCCCTCTAGTAATTCTTGTACACATTTTCTAGTTATTGTTTGCACAGCCCCTAGCCTGATATGTTTTGGTGTGTGCTTTGGGCTCTTAACTAATGCTGAAGGTCTACAGTTCCCAAGGCCTTTCAGGTTTACGACTGCCTGAGTGTTTTTTTGAGAATGTGAACGAACTTCAGGAGCTTGCAGAATTTAATTCACACCACCACCCTGCAAAAGAAGGGTGGGGTTTGGGGGGGGCACTTAATGAAATAATCTTTACTGTTTTTGTGTTGTAAGACTGCCTGTAGAAAAGGGTGACTACAGTGCTCTAATTAGGTGGCTGACAGCTGTGTAATAATTAGCAGTGTGCATACTGTTGTCTCCTCTGTTTTTCTTCCAAACCGAAGGTAATACTTCTATTTAGGAGGTAACCCAAAATCTTTATGTCCAAGACATTTGCAGAGCAACCATCCTTAAATAACAAATGTGAGGTTTTACTGCAGATTTCGTGTTTGTCTAGTCTCAGGCTGAATAAGGATCCACAAATGCTGATGCTGTAGGTAACTTACTGCCCATAACATCTCAGTTCGTTGTGCTGTGAAACCCTTTCTGGGTTTGCCTGGTGTTGGTGAATATAAAGGACCTGAGAGGACTCTGAAGTGAGCTGTGAGCAAGGGTCCTAGTAATATGTTACCTTAATGAAACTTTGTTTGAAGAAACTTGAAAATAAATCCACCTCTCGACAGTGACGCAACAAAGGACTGCATTGTGGAGCTTGTTGCTGTCTGTCTTTGTGGGCGCTTGTGCAGTGCTGCTCACTGTGGAGAATCTCTCAAATATTTCCAAACTCTGTTCTGCAAGATCCACCTGAATTTACTGTCAAGTTCACGATGCCAGCGTGAAATCCCTAACTTCTCATATTCATCCAAAGGCTTCCTTAAATTGATTTTGCAATCTGCCTTTGGTGCTGGCTGCTTTTGAGCCAAGGAGTCAAGGTCTCCGGGAGGGTGCTGCCTGCTATGCCAGCTCACGTACCTGTATCACCTTGAGACAGTTTAGCTCTGCTGCAAAAGGACAAATTTTTCCTGGAGTCTGAATTCTAAAGGCTTTTGTAGTCGCTGACTGTTGCACCTGATTCATGCCACTGCGGGCTAGTAGTAGGGTACAGACGTGAAAATAAATATGAGTTTTCTTCAACTCTTTGCAGAAATGGCTCAGGAAGAGATGGAAGTTGATCTCCAACCAGTGGCTGGTTACTCTGTAGAGAACAACACCGGGACGCTTCCCACAGAGCCCTCTGGTCATGCAGCGCTGTTGTCCCGTGCTCCGGAGCTGGGTGAAGGAGGAGGCAGCGTTACAGTTCTAATGCTGTTGTCATACCAAACGCTGGTACAAGGGAGTCCGCGCCTGAACCTGACCTGCAGCTGAGTCCCGTCTCGGCTCTCAGCAGACTGCAGAGACTCCAAGGGGCGTTTGATCCGTATCGGCCGCTGCCTGCGCCACAGGTCCCACAGCGCCTGCGAGCGAGGAGGACTCGCAGGCAACAGAGAATCGGTGGTTCGCAGAGGACAGTCAGTGCCAGGTAAAGCAGAGATTAAATTGCGTCTGAACTGCGCTCTTACCAAGTCTGCAGCAGTTTAAACCTGCCTTACGTACTGGCTTACAGAGCCCTGCTCAGTCCGTTGTGGCCAGATTCTGGGCACCTCAAGTGCTGTTAAAGCTCAATAATAGTAGAGCGCTTTCTGATCTCTTCTGGCAGGATCTTTGCTCTTGTTGAGTGAATCTCCCTGTGGTGGTGTTGACTCCTGAGCCTTTCTGCACTTTCCATCTCGCTTGTGAAGTTTCTGCTCCCACTGTTTCCTTTGCTCTGCCAGATTCCTGTTGGTGCTCCCTGCAGCAGCGCCGATTCTTAGCAGTTCCAGCCAGCATTTAGCTTGTGCTCTCTTTTGCATTTCACCTTTAATTTAGTGATTGCTTCATTAAGTTTCCTAGTGACAATTGCTGCAGAAACTAATATTTTTCTGTAGGCTTTTTTTTGTTACCTCCAGGCAAAGAGGTAAAAAAATATAGTGTTTAATACCACTTGTGATGGGTTTAAAGGGTGATGAGCGGGGATGCTCCCCAGCCAGAAAGAAATCCTCGTTTCTGGTTTGTTTGGTTTTTGTCTCATCTTTGTAGCTTTTGTAAATGCCAAGAGTGAAATTATAATTAACTGGAACACTGCCTTTAAATTCAGTGGGACCAAGAACTCCTCCTCCCAGATGATTAAACATAACTACTGTTTGCCCTTGGATTCTGTGTGAAGGTCACTGGAGTTCTTGGGGCTAGAAGGCAACCTGAAAAATTTCTCTTCTGAATCTGAATTATAGTTGAGATGATAGCTGAACTGATGGGGGGAGAGGGGAGGATGTTTCTGTCCAGGGATGAAATTCCAGTAGAAAAGAAGAGGGAAAGTAGAGAGACTAGGCACAAAGTTGTCGATGGGAGGAAACTGATACGAGCCTCATGCGTCTAATATTACTAGTGGCTTTGGAAGTCAGGTCGGGGTTAGGGTTGTAAGTACAGGTTAGTAGTTCCTTGGGCTATTAATGAACAATATTTAGGTTGTCTTTGCTTTTCTTCTCTCCAACCACTCCACCACCCCTCCCCGAAAGAAGACAATCTCATTGTAACGAGGAGATTTTCTTTGAGCTGAACAAAATGAATGGTTGCTGTATGATGCTGCTGATTGTTCAGAAAGAGGGCAATCATACGGGATTGCACCTCTGCTGGAGAAGGTCTGTCCTGATAACTTCGACACCTTCCTAATGCAGGCAGAGCCTAGGAATTTTATACTGCAAACAAGCGTGGAGAAACATGCTGCGTTTTCAGTTTATCTGAAATAACTGTGGTTTATTTTGTGTTTTTTGGGACTTAGGGCAGCATTGGACAGTTACTTTCAACTCAGCAGGACCCAAGAGCCAGCTACAGTTCCACGTATTGCGAGGGACAACCAGGACCACAGCTCAGATGAAACAATAGAAGTCAGCGACTCTGACAGCAGCACCTCTGAGGAGGAGGAAGTGGTGGAGGCTGCAGTACCGACATCAGCCCAGGAGATACCCTCAGCAGCTAGCTCAGGTTTGTGCTGTATTGGAGCTTGTAGGGACTGATTTCAGAAACTCATCCTGCTGCTCCAGAGCTCAGTGGGGAAGTGCTCTTGAGCTTCATGACAGACGGTGCTGAGATTGTTATCCCCACAGCTGACGGGAGCAGGTTGACACCACAAGGCTTTCTGGCAAGCAGTACCTAAGAGCAGTAGCAGCAATGGGTGATTGCTGCCGTAATGTTAAATACAGGCTTCTTGCTATTTGCAGGCTACTACTTATAAATAATCCTGTAAATGTTCAGAATAACTTCAGTCTTGGAGATTATTACTTGGCATACTTCTGCTGTTCTATATTATTGAGGAGTACTGTTGAAGACCTCAAGTCACATCTTTGGTGATCAGCAGTGCTTTCAGTTTTCAGAGCAGGATCTGATTCAGTATTTTTTTAATTATTTGCAATTTTGGTCTGCTTCAGTTTAGAGTTTTTATTCCTTTTATGCCGCTTAGCTGAGGAGGTAGAGCTACTTAGGAGAGTGGGCTTCTTTGTTTTGTGTTTTCCTTTCCTCAGCTTTTTCTGGCTCACAGTCCTTTATCCAGATTCACGTTTGCAGGCTGCTATGTGCTTCAGTGACACTGTTTGTGATGAACACGCAGTTTATGTGAGAGTGGCCAACGGGTAACTTGCTAGTTAAGGTTATTGATGCCCAGAGAATATGAGAACAAGATTTTTTTTTTTTTCACTTTGGTCTCTAAAGACTATCCTTGTGCTTCACTCTCTGCCCTTGGTTTTGTTTTTGATCAGCCAGCCCACCTTGACAATTTTTTTAACGGTATATCTATGAGGTGTCTTCTGAACAGATTGATTCTGCTTGCTCTGAGGTAGCCTTACATGTGACAGGAGCTCAAGCTGTTAAGTGCTGGCTAATATTGTGTGAACATATGCTCTCTGTAGGGTTTGCTGGAATTCCCTTGTCTTTTTTTGCTTATATAAGCCACCCGCTCCTGTTCAGCCCAGAGCCATAGAGGCTGAAAACTTTACTGACTTTAGCCAGGGTTAGGTGATACCGCTCTACTGGATTGAGAATGTCTGCCTCAAATACTAAACATGACTAATCAACTCTTTGTTTTGTCAGGAGGTAGGGGGGACACAGTGATTTCTGCTCCTTTTTTAGGATGCTAGTGGTGGTAACCCAAATGTTGTGTTTCTGTGTTCCCTGTGCTTCAACAGAAGGGCTAACAGAGGCCCCCCAAAAAACATATGGCCCAGCAGAATCAATAATTTGGATAACTACCAGCTGGAAAACTGCTTAAGTCGGGGTGAATGGACAGATAGCATATGGTAAATGCTTTCTTGGCACATGAAATATGCATGCTTAGATCCCTTGGCAAAATAACTTCTGCATATTTGTGTCTGTCTTTCTATGGGCATAATGACGCCAGGGTGGAACCTTCCATCAGCCTAACTATAGACCTGTACGGAGATATGTTTGTTTCCAGCAGGCCAGAAAATCGTGATAACAATTGCTGTCTTTAAAAGACCTCTTCTTTCTCACTGAAACTGTGCTGCTTTTTATAAAAGAAAACATCAAGTTCTTCAGCACTACTGCTGATGAATAGAAGGGCTTACACACAGACTGCCTGACCTTCAGTGTCCCGGATGCTGATCCAGCGCTTTGTACATAACCTGTGCCTTTGTTGCACTGCTTACCTTGTGCTCCGATGGTTTCAGACCAAGCCAAGGGGAGCTCCTTTTCCCCCTGTTATGTATCGGTTCATTTAAGCAATGCTTGCTTTAGTTTCCAGTCAGGTCCAAGCAGAGCCGCCTCAAGCTTTGTCTCAAGCTTCTGCAGAACATGGAAGTCATGAAGATGAAGAGGCTGAAGTCCAGCAAAAGCAGGTAAGGTGACCTAAATGCTTTAGGAGGCAGATTAAATATAGTAAATGCTGCATTTGTCTAAAAAATGTTACGGCTTTTTTCAAATTATTTTTAATCCTAGAGAACCCCACAAAAGACACTGGAACCATCAGTTCCTGTTGCACCGCTGGATGAGGAGGAAGGGGATACCTGTGCGATCTGCTTTGAGCAGTGGACCAACGCTGGGGACCACCGTCTCTCAGCACTGCGGTGTGGGCACCTCTTTGGTTACACCTGCATCGATAGGTGGCTCAAGGGACAGGCAGCCAAGTGCCCCCAGGTAAAACGGACATTTCTGTGCACTGGGAGGGATCTACTATCAAGTAAATTCTGCTGCAGGCGTGAGCACTGTAACTGTTAAAACCACTTGCTGCATGAAGAATTCGCCTTTGCCTGCTGTCAGAAATAACAAAAATCACCATTTTTTTGATGTAACTAGGCCAGGAGCAACTAGCACTGCTTTAAAGGGAGGATTCCGACTTGAATTTTTCTCCTGAGGTAGAGCATTTGTGAGTAGCAATTCAGAAGCTTGAGAGTTCAAGTTCTAAACCTGTAATTGGTTTCAGAACGCTGCACTGTAGTCCTGGAGTGTGGGAATGGCAGACATTGCTAGAAGCAATTATTTAAGCATCAAGAATGTGTTATTGGACAAGAAATCTGAGAACCATTTTCAGTTGGTTAATCTTCTGTTTTGAACTGCATCTGCTTTTGCAGCCTGTAAGCAGATCAGGTTGTTTAGGCAGCTTGCAAAGAGTGAGCTGAGAAACAAGTCGCATCCTTTAATGTCCACTTGCAAGTGGTAGATCTGCTTTTTTAAGGTGCTCTTTTTGGTTTTGTTTCCATGGGTAATACTGATCTCTTTTGATTAGGTCCACATTTCTCTGTAATGTGCTTATTTATTTATTCCTTATTCCTTTTCTCTAGAAAGGAATGTTGACAAAAAAATAGGTCAATGAGTACCTTATAAGTAGGATTCAGTTCTGCTGCTTTCCGAGTCAGTGGCTGGAAGCCCAGGGCTTCTTTGGCTTTGTCATTTTGAGAGCTTCCATGGTTTTGCTTGACTTTGTGCAGGATTCCCTCCTCTTAACAAGAAACTTCCTGTTGACGTGTGCTGTGGTTAAACCTAAAGAATCACTGTTGCCATAGCAAAGGCCCAAACCTTATTTTTCTTATCCCTCTCAATTCTATGTAAGCTTTTCTTCCCCCACTCCAGGCCCAAACAGAATTCTGAGACCTTCTGGCATCTTTGCTCATTGGAATTTTGTGACTGCTTTCTTCTTAACTCTAACAACTCCTAAGGGGTGCTTGCTCCCTCTTTTTCGTTCAGTGATGTAATTACTGAAAATTTCCTGGGAGAACTTCTTACTCTGGAGAGAACCTTGCAGCTAAATCATCTTCCCTTCATTTTCAGTCTCTGTCCTTTGCGACTAGGCATTCTCTAATTGAATAGCACGGAGTTGCTGTGTGTGGTGTTCTGTATACTAAGTGGCTTGAGTGCAAGTTACTGTGAAATTGCAGCATTTCTGATCCTGCCAGTGACAGCTGCTGGCTGCCAGAAAAGCTGTCTTAGCCTCTTACTGCCCTGCACAGCAGTTCTTTACAAAGGGAGGGGGGTTGTCTGGTCTGAAACTGTTGCCTGTGATATCTTCGTGCTTCTAAATAATAGAGAAGTCTGCATTTTAAGGGCACGTAGTAATTTAATGTTCAGCGGAGGTTACTTGGTTTGAGTGTTCACTGCCTCTTTTCTGAGCAACAAAGTGTATTTGCAAAACAGTAAGCTTGCAGGTGCCATAATTTCTTCCTCCAAGTCCCAACTTTAGGGAGGTATTATATCTTCTTTTTTAAGGAGAATCAAAAGTACTAAACGGTCACAGCCAGATGCACAAAATTATTGAAATATCTGTCACTGGAATCAGTGGGATGTCAGAGTTTCATACTGACGCTGGAACGTGTAGGAATACAGTACATAAATAACAGAGTTGGGAGTATATTCAGGGGTTCCCAAATCCTCGTCTGCTGGCCAAGCGACGAGTCTTGGTGCTCTCAAAGTAGAGGTTGGGCTGGTGGTTTGTTTTGGATCTTTTTTTTCCCCCCTTAGATATATATTTTTTTTTTAATCCCTGGAACTTACGTGACCCTGCTGCATCGCTGGTGCTTTAGCAGAACAAATTTAGTGGTAAGCAAGGAGCTGCATTATTAAAGGTGCAATAGGATCCATGAGCTAAACTGTTATGGTAGCCCTGGTTAGAGCTCTGGTGTCTGTGTGAGGTAGTGCGTGTGTTTGTGTTTCTGTGGTCTAATTTTCAAGTAGACAGCCCTTCCCTTCAAAACTATCAGAATTTTTCAAAAGAATGCCTAGCAGCTTGTAGGGATGCATAGTTTGGATAGTTAAATTCTTACGGATGAATTGAACTTGTCTTTTATTGCAGTGCAATAAGAAAGCGAAGCGTTCTGACATTGTGATCCTGTATGCTCGTACTTTGAAAGCGCTGGATACCAGTGAACAGGAGCGCATGAAAAGGTACGGCATCTCCATGTAAGGACGTGACCTCGCTGATCGCGTGCTGTTGAAAGCTGCGGCCTGGCTTTGACTTCAGGCTTTGATTTCCTGTATTGTCTAAAGCAATTTGTGCGTGCCCTTGAGGATCATCATGAGTATGGCTGGCTTAGCAAACCAATGCCTTGCTGTGCTGCACGTGCCTTTACCTGGATGCAGAATTTTGGTTTGGAAACGGAATCCTTGAGTTTGCAGTTTGCGGCACTGAAATAGCTGTATCCTGAAATGTCATCATGGGAGAACATGCAGGGCTGTTGCCAAAAAGCCGTATATTCCTAATACATGATTAGAGGAGAAGAGTGAGGCATAGTTAGAAATGCAAGGAGGGTGAATAGCTGACCTTTTCTGCCATCTCTTCTGCATGCATTACCCAGAGTAATCTCTGATATGAATCACTTTCCATCTTGCTTTGTCAAATTCTTCATGTAGCTTTACTTACAAAAGGTCAGCAAGCATTACTATGACTCTGCTTCCCCCTCCAACTTAAATGTAGACTTTTTATTGAAAAAAGGAAAAGTGGGTATGAAAATGGGGACTAATTTATTTCCAGTAAGATGCTGTCACAGATACTATTCTGAAATTAAAATGCTGCAGATATCAGAGTTCTCCTGGATCTTGTAGTGAAGAAAATTTAATTGGGGTCTTTTTCACATGTCTCTAACTATAGTGCTGTTCTTTCAAAGCACTCTTTCAACAGAAACCTCATCATCCTGGTAGTTATTAATCAGAAATGATTGAGGAGTAGCTGTCACAAAGGGAAGATATCTCTTCTGTCCAGATTGCCACTGCCTGATGGTGGTTGAACTGTACCTTTAGAAGGGTCATGCTTGTTTTACTGGCTCAACGCTGTAAAAGAAATGATAAATAACATTTTTTCAAAAGCACAGAAGGCATTTGGATTGTTTAAATCTTGTTATCTCTTATGGAGAGATAGTTATCTAACTGCTGCTTGTGTCTCAGAATCTCTCTGCAGCCCTTCCCCGCCTGCCCTGCACCTCCTCTGGCTCCTGTTCCTGCTGGGAGGCTGGCGGCAATGACCTGTCAGGCCGGGGAAGTCGCTGGCAGTGGCTGCTTTGGGCACACAGCCACGAGAGGAGGACAAATGCAAACACTGATGCACACATCGATATTGTTTGCACGTAGCCTTGAATTAGGTATAAGATCGTGGGTTTTGTTCTTCACATTCAGAAAAGCCCGCCTTCAGGCTCTGGGTACTTGTGTAAACAATGTGCCTGTGATGGTTAAATATTGCATTTTACCTGTTCCTTATGCAGCAAAAAATCGCATGAAGATGCTATAGGAAATGACAGAATTCTGTGCTTGGTAAATGTGCAAGGCTATGTCTGTGTATTTAGAAGGTGCTTAAACAAGCTGGAGCTCACTGCACATGAACTACTGAAATAACTGGAATATTGCAGCCTTTGAAGTGCAGAATGCAGTGGTCAATACTATAGACCAAAAGTACAGATAGTTCTCAGGAATACTTGTGTTTCTTCCCCCTCTTTATCTGTTTCTTCATGTGTAAAGCATGTATGAAAGAGAAATTGAAGTATGTTATCAGAACTGCTGCTGCTACATTGTGTGGATGCAATTCTAGGCTCAGGGTAAGGTATGAAGTATGGTTTGCATATGGACATTCACAGAGATTGTATCGGTCTCTTTCTGATACAGTTGTTTTTCCTGAAATAAAAAATTAGTAACTGGTAGTAGAAACAAGCTTAAAGATCTTGCTGTGTCATGACTTGCTGTGTTACTGACATAGTATATTGCATGGACATTGATGGTATAGAATTTGCTAAACCAGGGGAAAAACTCTGATTTTTCTTTTACTCTCCTGCTAAATTAGCACATTTGGGGAGGGTGAGGAGAAAGGCTGTTGTTTCTATGGAACAATGCTTGAGTGAGTCATTCGGTACAGTTGCATAACCAGGAACACCTCGAGGTGAATGCACTGGATAACTGTGGTACCAGGTTTTCTGTTAGTTTTGAATTTACCTGAACGGGGCTTGTGTTGGGATGAAGTCTGGGGAGAAGCATCCTAGGTAATGTGTAGTCCTCAGGATTGCTTTTCTCTCATTCCTCCAGCTCTTTAGAAAAGGAGCAGATGTTGCGGAGACAGGCAGAGCTTGAATCTGCACAGAGCCGCCTCCAGGTGCAGGTTTTGACAGACGAGTGCAGCAAACTCCGCAAGCAAGTTCAGGTGAGTCTCATGCTATGCATTCGTAGAGGATTCTCTTTCTCTTCAACCTGCATTTTGCTTGTTCCCTTAGAGGAGAGAAGACAAGCTTCCCGTTCTAATGAGCAGCAAGATTTAGTAAACTCCACTGGTGAACCATCAGGAGTATCCTAAACATCCCAGCCTGGCATATTAATGTATACTACACATGCTTCTAAGACCAATCAAAGTTGCAAGTACAGCTTAGCAGTAGAGTTTCTTGGCTGATGATGTTGCAGGTTCCTCCTCACGTTTTGTGGTGCCTGGCAAGGCCTGGTAATACAACACTGAACTTATTCTCCTCATCTTTCTCTTAACTGCATCAAAATAAGCTTTGAAAATCTCTCTAGTAAATCTGTAGTGGGACCCATTATCACTAATTAGAAGTAGTGACACTTTGAGAAGTAGTTTGTGAAGAGGTATGGCTATTTGCAGAAACAAAACAAAAAAAACCCCAATTTTTTTTTTGTGAAGGTCAGTCAACATTCTACTGAAGCACCTTCTGGTACCTGGAGGCCTGACCTGTCGATAGCGTTGGCTGTATGCTTGGGCTGAACAGCCACTAAGAGCCACCTCTGTCCCCTTCGAATACAAATTACTGAAAAGAAATGACTGGTTGCTAAACAACTGCTTCCTTTCTGGCTTATGCAATGCCATGATATTTGGTAACCCATCACAGCTGTTCTTGCAGGATTCCTATAAATTGTGGACTTTGCTGGTGCTTCCAACTGGGTGTTGTCTGGCACGTTCCACCAGTGCTGGTTTTTCCAAGAGCCTGTTTCATAGCCAGCTTGCTGCTACTCTGTTGTATGAAGTAGATGACATCTAATCTCTTGCTGTCTAGTAACTTGCTTAGTTTTATGCTTTTCTCTACTTCTAGATTTCTTTTTATAGCCTTTGCTATTCATGTCTGTACATTAGGCAACATCCTCTTTGCTGAGGTCTTCCTGTGTGACGTAAGATAAGGCTTTATAAATTGCTTGTCTGAATTCCTGCGTGAGGTTGTATGCTCATCAGAGCTAATAGGAAAACCGGTCCTCTTTAAACTTTGGCTTAAGAAAAATGTGAATAAGATAAAACTGCAGGTCCATAACGTCTTCCTGCAGTTCTTTTGCTGTTCAATGATAGAGTATCCAGTCTAACTGAATTGAAGTCGTGTGTTATAAAGATTAAGTACCTTGTGTTCTTTAAGCTCTGTTTCAGTATTTATACTGCATTCATCGCTGTCCTGTAGTGGTTAATGTGAATGCTGGAAGCAATTTTAAGGTGCCTGTTTATACTATGAATAAACTGAAAGTAAAACATTTGCTGAGGAGCAGAAAATCACCAGGACTAAGTCTCTAAGTTGTTTGATTATATTTTGAGCATATGCCTAACAACTTCCTTGTCTTATGAGAGGTCATCTAGTAAAGGAAGTACTGCATAGAATCATTTCGATTGGCTGGGACCCCGGCTGGGTAACTTCCGTGTAGTTTGGGTTGGGTTGCTGAGGGCACTGTCACACCAGGATTTGAGTGCATGCAAGCAGATGGCACATCCTCCCTGGACATCCCATTGTTTGACCATCCTCATTGAGAATATTTTCTTCATACCATCTAATCTGAATTTGCTTTTCTGCGTCTTGAATCTGTGGCCCTGGTCCTTTCAGCACGTGATGTTACCGATGGCACAAGAGAACACGTTGACTTGGCTTACAAAGCTGTAGGTCAACACAGAAAACCATGTGCTGTGGGATTACAAAAGAGAGGTGTGGAATGTCCCTACGCTCAGAGGGACATGTGACATGGCAAAGTTCAGTTGCACAGAACTTTATTGGCATAGTTATGATGTTCATTGGTTCCATACAAACGCTGGTGTCTGCCATCTTACAGAAAGCAAAGGCCATTGGTTTCCACCCGAAAGTCATTGTGTGAACCCTTTTTTGTTACTAATGTGCTTGGGAGCTGTGCCTCATCAGCAGTCATATCGCTAGTTAGGACCTTTTTTAGGTTTGTACACATTTTTCCCTGCTCTTGTCCATTAACAGTCTTGTCCATTGGATTATGTTATTGAATTATTTAACATGATTGAGGCTAGAAAAGGGATGGATTTTAAGTCTTTATCTGCATGAGAATATATGAGGAAAGGAACTTGAAGGCAGAGAGGGTCAGTAGCTAACTGAAACTTTGGAAGAAAGCTCTCAGCAGCATTGTTTCTGTGTGTGAGCCTGTACTGTGTGCTGTTCTGAGCTATGTGCTGCACGCCGCGTGGCAGGTTCAGACTTGCATTTCGGAAGGAGTGTTTTATTGCGCAAAAAATCTTTCATCTTTGTGATCTTTGGGTTCACCTCTGGTTGATGTCTGGGTAAGATCTATAAAAAGTAAAACCTGATATTTCAGTCAGCTGTTACTTACAGGGAGGCCAACCAAAAATGCTGTGTGTCCCTGTGACTGGATTTGACCCTGACCCCCCAGGAAGGTGGAATGCTGTAGTGCTGCACTGCAGCTGGAGGCTGTCCAGCCATCTGTTTCTCTATTAAATGCAAGGCCGGGCTCTGTAGTGCGAGATAACAAGTGTGACTTCTGTCAGAGGTCCATGGGAGCACAGCCACAGTCTTCTGATAGCTGCCTTTGTCTTTAGAGCTTCCTATCAGCTATTGAGACTGTAACCTAATGCTCAAAAGATGCTCTGAATTTGGTGTAGCTGGTCATTTTCCTTTCCTATGCTTTGTGCTGTTCTGCTTCTAGTTCTCATGCATGCTCCTCAGGAAGACTTGTGCTGTGTATCCTCTTCTTTCCCCAGCCGGGGTTCATCCATCACTGCAATGGCAAGCTGAAATCTAGGAGGCAGTCACAGCGTATGCAGAGACAAGAGTGCCCTCAAGGCCCTGAGTCAGCACCAGGCATCAGGAAAACCCTGCAAACATCTTAAAGGGGAGGTATAGGCTTACACTGCCTGAAGAGTATTCTTTGGAACACAATTAGCGGACATTTGTTCTGTGGTGCAACATTTTTAGTCACCGTGGTAATATGTCTCCAGTAAGAGAGCTCCAGGCTTTTGCTGGGTTGGTCCACTGTGTTTAAAAGTAAACATTGTACTCATAGTCCTTGTGGTTTTAATTGCCTCGTTTCCTTTTTAATAACTTGTGTAAAAGTTGAATGTTGAGTGCATGTGACAAGGAGAGTTTTGTAAACTCCCCAGAGCAACAAATAATTTTACTCTCTTCTGATCCTCAGTGGTGGTGGTGGTGTCCTCCTGGCTTTTAGAAATAATGAGTTTGTTAAATTTTTGATTAAAAGTCACTTTCTTCTAAGTTACCTGTGTTTTCACTGACTGCTTACTCTAAGCCCAGAGCTCCAGCTTCCATCAGAAGCATCCTGGCACCCCCACACCTCGTCTTCCTCCCCAGGTTATTTTGTCTTTGCTTGCTCTAATGGGATCATCCGGAGTCTTCAAGCCTTTAGCTTTCATTGCAGATTCCCCGAGGGAATAAGAATGAGCTTGATGCAAAACAGATCAGACCTCTGTAAAATATCAGAATTGCTCTCCTCTTGAGCAGTTTCCAAAAGTTATAGGTCTTGATGATAACTATTAATGTAGAGCTTGATCTTTGATCTTGCCTCTTTGAGAACTGCTGCCTTTGCTTAGACATGAGTTAAGTGGTAGTGGCTGGTTCAATATTGAAGCTAGCTTGCAATCTACTAATATATTTGTAACCTCACTCTTGCGGCCCTTAACTCTTTAAAAATTACATAGCATTTGAAGCATAATCTTATGTTGCTTAGACAACAGAAAGCAAGTAGCAATTTCCTTAATATATACACTCCCTCTAATATCCCTGGGGTTCTGTGCTGTCTGGGTTTGCCCTTGGATTGCAACAAGTTGGTTGATGTGCTTTTTTTTGAGGGGTAGTTTTAGTTGACTCACAATATGCCAGTGCCACTACTCGCATACCCACCTCACCCCCGCTGACCTCCGTGGAAAAGCAGAATTCTAGGAATACCTTGTTCCTAATGGAAGCTGGCCTTGGCCACGCCTCTGCTGAGCATCCTTGAGCATCCACCAGTTGAGGTGGAGGAGGAGGGGGGAGGAAGTGGTGGAAAACAGGGCTGGAGCTCTTGAGAGTTGTGTTGTTCCTGGAATTTGCTGCCCAGAGTTTACGAGAACAGGCTCATCTTCATTAAATAGACTGACTTGTTTCCTGCAATGCCCTTTACATTGAAACTTGGGCTTTTATTTTTTTATGGGGTATTCTGGAAATTCTGGAAAGTGGTTCTAATTGACTTTCTCTTGTGGTTTAGCTGCATGTAATACTTGGCAGTTCATTCTTTTCTAAGCAGCATTGATCTGGTAATAATTGTTATTGGCTTTTATGTGTTGCTCAGGAGCCCTTTCTCTCACAGGGTCTAATACATACGATAACAAACTCTGAGTACATCCTGCCAAACTCACGGAGCATTTCAATGCTGTTGGTGCTCACTATCATAGTGGACTTGAAAATCCAGCATTTCAGGAACAGTGTGGAGGTGGGACCACATTTTTCCTCTTTATCTGAGAACAAGTACAGTTGGAGCACCTGGAACAGAGAGCACAGGAGGTTACATCGCCAGTGGCACAATAAAGCTCTTTGAGTCTCTTTCTTTGCAGGAGCTGAAGGCTCTGGTGGCCCAGCACAATGCGAGTGCTTCTCAGCAACCTGGCAGCTCCCGCACCCACCTCCCAGGCGGCCTCCCCTCCAGCCAAAGCCAGCGCAAGTACCACTTGGAAAAGGTTTTTGTGGTGTCTCAGAGCGGGAACTGCAGAGTAATGGCATATTGCGACTCACTGGGTTGTCTCGTGGTATCACAGCCTTCTCCACAGTCTACTTTTATTCCTGGTAATGAAGCAAGTCAAGATTTGGGGGTTCATAGGTGAAAATTAAATGTGTTTTCTGCTTGCTCTCTGCAACCACCTCTCTGCTTGACCTTTGCACGTGCCTTGTCGGCTGCAAATACTCCTTGCAGAGCTGGGTCTTCTGGAGGAACAAGGGGCCAGCGCACAAGGGCCTGCAGAGAAGTTTCCAGTGCAGGAGTGCAGATGATTTGTCAATACGCTTTTTCAGACAGATAAATAAATAACATGCTTTTATTATGAGTGATAGGAGCTCTGTTTCCCAGTGAGGAAATAGGAAGCCAAGAAGTCAGGTGCAGCCCTGTTTTTATCTCACTGTTACGGCCAGGGACAAGTGACCTGCCACCTGGAACAGCACCAGCTTGCCTTTTCAGTGAGATAGATGTAGCCTTAAGAGTCTGAGAGAGTTTATTTGCAAAGTACTTCAATGCTTTCTGAATGATGAAACTTACTTTATTTGGTTAATGGTTTGGAGATTAATATGCCTTATCTAGGCATAGCAAAATTGTTTTCTGCATTCAGCTGACCTTATTTTTCTGGCTTTTGGAACCAGGGAATGAATCTCTGAATGGAGGCTTTGTGGTGACTCGTGCAGCATGCAGGTTAAGTTCACCTGTAACCATTCTTTGCTGTGACCCTTGTTTTCTTAAATAGCCACGTAATCCTACAGTGCATGTTTTTAGGCAAGAATGTCTTTGAAGAAACTGCCTAAAGAGCAGCAGGCTCTTGTAACAAGAACTGTTAACACTGATATTGAGTTTGCTCTTGCTGGCTAGGATCCTCCAGGATTTGGCACTGCTGCCATTTGAACCAAAGAATGAATTGTCGCAGCTCTTGTCCAGAACAACAAGTAACTTTCATGTGTTCATCCCACCACAGGATTCAGTACAGACATTGCAGTTCTGGCATAGAATTGCCAGTTCTACATGTATGTCGCTTTACAATAACCTGCTTTATCCTTCTGTGCCAGGCTGTGGCGTTAAGATGATGAGCGTGGCCAACCTGAAGAGCAGTCAGTACATCCCCATCCACAGTAAGCAGATTCGGGGCCTGGCTTTTGGCAGTCGAGCAGATGGCTTGCTGCTCTCTGCCGCTCTGGACAACACTCTCAAACTGACCAGGTGAGCCCTGCTGCGGGGAGCAACCGGGCCCACCGGAGTTCTGCTGTGTGCAAGAGATGGGATTGGGTTTTGTTCAGTCTTGCTTTACACGTCTTGCAGCATTTGCTATTCTGCTTTCCAGAAGATGCTGGTAAGATGAGATAGGTCTGCATGTTCTTCCTGCGTGGGGGAACTAACAGAGAGGAAGACTTGTTATTGCTTTCAGATCTTTTACATGGAGGTGTTATGGAGCTACCTGTCTCTGATAATTTTCCTGTGGAGAATTCGGTGGAAAACAAGTAATTCAACACAGATTGGCCAAGTTGTGTTGAGAAGAAAATGTTGCGTGATGTAGAGATCTGAAATTTACTGTCCACTTGGTTTTCTGTTACTGCAGGAAATGTGAAGCACAGGAGCTTGTATGGCATAAAACACAAAAAAGGAGTGCTTAGGCTGGGCACTTTGTTCCCTACGTTAACGTTGGCTTCTCTGACTTTAAACTTCTTGCAGAGCCTGGAATTAATCTGTGATATGAAATGCATAGACAGCGTTGTTGAGCAGGTGCTAGAGGAACACAGGTTCTGTAGAGCTCATAGAGACTTAAAGCAGCAGGTTAGAGACTAGTTGTGCAGAGGCTGAGAGAAAAACCTGCCAGTCCTGGTAGAATGTATGACCTACCAGTGTATTTTCTTGCCACTCTGTGCTGCTCTTCAATCCCTAAACTTAAGCTGTTTCAAGACTTTGGCTGATTGATTCTTATTGAGTTACATTAACGTCTCCATGCGCATCTGTCAGTCAGCGTAGAGTTTGTCAGGATATGTCGGTGACAGTCGTGACTGATTAGTCCCAGCTCTTTCCCACAAGAGGAGCAATGAAGAGAACTTAATCCTGCAACAAAAATGGTGACTGGACGTCAACTTTGTCTGCTATTTGGGGTGTCACCCCTCTGTGTACTCCTGTCTTCTTCCTTCCACAAACTGAGTTTGTAAAGAATTAACACTGACTATACTTTTAACTGTCTTTACCCCGCTCACTCTCTCACTCTTGCTTAAATTGGATTCTCTTGAGGCATAAAATCTGTTCCTCTTGTGAAAAGAGGGAAATAATTAGAGAGATGTAATCTGAAGAGATGAGCCCTGTGATATCAGGAATATGTGGTATTACGGAATTACACTAGAGTCGCTTCTCCTAATTGTTTCTAGAAGAGTAACTTCGCTTTCTTTTTCCAGTAAGGCAGCAGAGATCCTGCTCTGAGATTTCCTTTCCCACTCTCCAAAGATCAATCTGGAAAAGGAAGCATTGGCCTGGAAGAATTATACATTACTTCGCAATATCCAAGTGATTATTCTGTCTAGATTTTCCAGTTTCACGTCTGGAGTAAAGAAAGGATGAGTTAATTCAGAATTCACTCCAGAGGAAGATGCGCCTGTCTAAACACTTTAAAAGCAAGATTTGCTTACCTTAATTATGCTGTTTTCTCATCAGTAGATGCTTGTACAATGGGCCAACACTTTGCTTTTCTTCTGCAGCTTGGCAACAAATACTGTGGTGCAGACATACAATGCTGGCCGTCCTGTCTGGAGCTGCTGCTGGTGTCTTGATGATACAAACTACGTCTACGCTGGACTGGTCAATGGCTCTATCATGATATATGATTTGAGAGACACGAACTCTCATGTCCAGGAACTAGTCCCGCAGAAGTCCAGGTAGGGCATAAGGATTTTTCATTCCTCTCAACTTCACTAATATACATTAAGCTAAGTATAGCTTCTTCCATAAATCACACCACAATTGTAATAGTTTAAATTGTTTTATGGGAATCTGATGTTCAAAAATTCAGATGTCGCACAGATGTGAGAAGTGTCTCGAGGTTGCGTGGTAGGTGTATAACTTAGTATGAGTGCTTGGCACCTGCATCTTCTCAAGGCATGCGGTGGTCAGAAATGGATCCACCACGGCAGCCCAAGCAGCAGAACTGACTTTGTTTTGGAGATGGGTTTGGTATTTAATTTGGAAAGGACAAATTACAAAGAGGTGTGAGATGCCAGCACTTCCATCTCTTCTACTCAGGGAAACAAATGCAGATTTACACACATCTGATGTGTGCTGTCTGATGCTGCTTTAAAACATAAAGTTCAGTTAAGCTGAATTTCATTTATTCTTGACGAGCCCACTGGGATTGCTTGCTTGAAGGACTGTTTTGTAGCCTACTTAGGCCCTCTCTTTGTGTTGTGGTTACAGAGGGGTGAGGCAGAACGCATGGCTGTGGCTGCCAGCACTGATTCTCGCCAGTCATCCTTTCAGGTGCCCCATGGTATCGCTGTCATATCTGCCCCGGATGGCCTCAGCATCGCTGCCTTACGGTGGAATATTAGCTGGGACCTTGGAAGGAGCCTGCTTTTGGGAACAGAAGGCTGGCAACTCCTACCGGCCTCATCACCTGCCGCTGGAACCTGGAGGATGCATTGATATTCAAACAGAGATCAGCACTCGGCACTGCCTCGCGACGTACAGGCCCAGTACGTAACGACGTGCAGCTGCAATGCGCTTTTCTCTGCTGCTCTGGCCTGCTGAGGGCATGGCAGGAGTGTCGTGCCTGCCTTGGCCTGAGTAATGAGCAGCTGCACAGAGATAAGAGCTGGGTGAGGGCAAAAGGAGGCAGCTGCAGGGTGGTGTTGCTTGTATTTCTAAAGTTTCTACAGTTAAAACTTGTCCACAACTAAATTTTCCGAAAGTTACCTCTCTATTTTTGCTGAGCAGGTAAAAGTAACCCGTGTGTGCGTTGTGTGATGATGGAACTGACCTGCAGCCCGCTGACAGAGGCCTCTGAGGATGTGGTGTGTTCTTCTCACCCGGTGCAGACTTTCAGCGCTGGGCCCACCTGCAAGTTGCTGACCAAGAATGCCATTTTTCAGAGCCCAGAGGAGGATGGCAGCGTTTTTGTGTGTGCTGGTGACGAGGCAACTAATTCTGCCCTGGTATTTCTCATTCCTTTCGGTGTGGTGGGGGGTTTTATTGCGATTTGTAGGAGAGAAGCCTTATCAGTCACAGCATCACTGCGTTTCGCTGGGAATTGTCACTCCCATGACGCTGTGCAGGTTGCTCTCTTGTGCTGGCGATAGCGGTGTCACTTTGGATAGCGTGGGACACCCAGTACTAGCCAAGGCCTGGAGTCCACATCCAGCGAGAGGAACGCAGGCAGCGAACCCCTGTTGTCCACCAGAGGAGTGCAGTGGGGCATGCTGACACAACTGGGGGCTGTAACCGGTGTAAGGGGGACTCGGTGGGATAGCTAATGTGGTACGTGCTGTAAGGGACCAGGCTCTTCAGGAATGATGAGTAAGACAAGGAGAAGGGTTGCCGTTGTATGAAAAAGCAGCTTGGATGCAGAGGATGGACAACAGGCTGCGTGAGAGCTCTGAGTCGGGGTCGGAGGGGGAGAGCAGTTGGGGTGAAGTCCTGCTGGGAGCCTGAGCCCATTCAAGCAGGGTGTGCAGGTAGACAAAGGGTCCTGGAAGTGACTTGAGGAAAGTCTCTTCTCTAGCTGTGGTGTGGATGGGAGGGGAGAATCCCACAGTCTTTGACCTCGTGTGTCCCACAGCTCTGGGACGCTGGAAGTGGCTCCTTGCTGCAGAAGCTGCAAGCTGACCTGCCGGTGCTGGATATCTGCCCTGTGGAAGTGAACCAAACCCACCTCCTGGCCACGCTGACTGAGAAGATGGTGAAGATCTACAAGTGGCAGTGAGAGCGGTCCCCACTTCTGCCACACAGAGCCTTTCCAAACGTGCTGCTGACAACCCCACACAACTGCTCGGTCCCAGGCTGCTGTCCTGCGCCTGAGACAGGAACCGCTACAGCACCTTTCTGGCAGAAGGTGGGAACTGGGACACGCTGGTGCCTGGAGCAATTCCTTTCTTCCTCCATCATCCTTTTTAGGTCTGTCCTTATTTCTTCTTTGGTCAATTTTCTTCAGTCAAATTCTGCAAGCTGCCTCAGCACAGCAATAATTCTTGGACCGTCTCCAGCATGCATTGCTGCACTTTTTTTTCCCAGTGTGAATACAGCACAGGGACTTGCAAATCTCTTCTACAAATCAACAAAATAAGAGGAACTTGAAGACCTGAGACTCCCACTTTCTCCTGGAGTCCTGCTGTGATTACTGGGTGACGAAAAGGTGGCAATATTGGCATTTCACTAGCATGGCTGATACTCAGTGTAAGAGCAAGTTCACTGCTTTAGAACATATTCCCATGGTCTTTTGAAGGTCCAGGGCAAAGTCAGTTGTCAGGGGTTCCCCGAGGAGGACAGACCCTGGTTTGTGGCCATGGACAGAACAAGCTTGGAAAATCTACAGAGAACCCTTTTCTTTTGTGGCTTTTTTTCCATGAGCATGTAATTTGCACTGTAATTCCTTATTTCTCTGCCCCCGTTTCCTTCCCTTTTCCCCTGCTTTGCCCACAAGCAAACTCACCCAGTTTGGTTGTGGAAAATGAAACTCTAGTACTGGAGAAGTGCAGGTAAAGAGGAGGAGATGCTGCTTGTACGGTCAGCTGCTGCAGTCATGGTGTCCTTCCCTAGAGACGGCAATGCACTGAGACAGCCAGTCCCTTGGAAAAGAATGCTGGCTGCTTTTATTTTTAGTGTTTTGGCTTTTTTTCCTCTTTGAGGAATTGGTGGAAACTCAGGGATTTCATCAGCTCGCTTTCACTGACCTTTTGCCTTCCTTAAATCACAGTTGCCAGCTCACCGGCCGGTCACAGGCAGCCTCCAGTTGTATTTGTGTGCGAGTGTGCTGCAGGCTCGCTGGTTTACGTAAGCCTGAGCCCATCAGTGGGGTGACAGGCGGGGGGTGTGCTGGCTGGGTACGCGGGGCCCTCAGCACCCTGACCGTAAATATGCTGAGGGGTGTCAGAATGTTTATCTCCAGGTCAGATCATGAAACAGGACTTCAGTTTCATTTTATGTTTAACGAAAGCAAATTTGCAGGGATGTTAGAAGCTGCAAGATGAGTTCCCTGTGCTGGAAACGTATTCCTCAGCACACCTCTGCCTCTGGCCGTGGTAAGCAGCATCCGTCCTGGTCAGATTGAGTGTGTCACCACTTAAACTGCCAGAACAATTTTATTTTCTGAAGTCTGGGGCTTGCACAGTATGACCCTGTTTGTCTTACCTCTTGAAAATGAGATTTGAGAAAATCTCTGCTTAACTTTATATTTTTCTGTATAGTATTTTGTTCCTATATTTTTATATACTGTAAAAATAAAGTGTTTATAGTTACCAAATATAACTGGTGCTCCTGTACTTTAAAAATACATCTCAGCAGTATACACTGCTGATCTTGTGAACGTAAACAAGCATCCCCCTGTGCAGGTAAGGGTTCTTGTGTTTTGTGTTACTTCCAAGTCCCATTGAGCTTCAGACTGAACTAACGGAGGCTCTTGGTGAATGCGGAGTCCTCATGGAACCATGCCCGTCTGGCCACGTGAGGGAAAAGGTTCAGGCCGTGCACCTGGGACATCCCTTTAACTGGGAAGAAACTCACTGGCATGAGACTTTTTGGGGTTTTCACAATGAGCGGGAACAAAGGGTTAGTAGAAAGAGTAGCTGGTATTACCAGAGACTTTCTCACAATTAAAACCAGAAGGAGCAGGGTGCTCTCCACCAGCTTGTTCTCAGCCATTCTGAGGCAGCATTTATGCTCAGTCACCTCCAATCCCACAAGAAATTTGGACAATTTCGAATGCATACAGAAATTAAAAAGCCTTAGGTTTTGATTTTATAGATAGCACTTGTTTTCTCCTTTATACCACCCTACGGGAATAAGAGGTACAAACCTAAATGCTATTAAAAGAATAATAGAATGACACTTTCATGTTCTGTCAGTTTTCAAATCCAGAGTTTAAGAAAATTTTCAAAGATCTGAGATGTGAAGAACCGTGTTAACGCTACCCTAGTCACAGGTTTGCAGCTGGCACCGGGAAAGAGCACCTAAATTGCGTGCAGACAGCTATCAGCAATTGAGGGCTGATAAAAGGTCAGATGTGTTAATTAAATATTTGCTCATCTCTGCCTAGAGTCAAAGGGGCAGATTGTGGAATGGAAGGGGGGAAAAAAAGTCAGAGTCTGCACGATGCAGGGCAGCTGTCATTAGAGGCAGAGCTGTTTCACTGGTGGTTCAGGCAATAAGCCACTCTGTGGCTATTTCTGCCTCTGTCTCTGGGAAGATTTTGTTATCAAGGAGCAGGGCCGTCCCTTGGCAATTCCTGTAGTAAATCCAACGTGAGGTGATAGGTAAAGCTGGGCAGCGCCATGGCTCCTGCAACCAGGGCCTTGCTCAAGCATTTTTTAATATATTTTTTTCTTGGCTGTTGTGGGGGTGTACCTTTCCTAATTTTAATTCTTGGAAAACCAGGCCTGGGGGACAGACCGGCATGTGCAGGCCCCCGCTCCCTGTGGAGGTGCGGTGTTGGGGGGTGGCAGGCTGGGAGTGGGAAGCTCTGTGCTTTCCACAGCAGGACTGTCCTGCATGCATCCCTCGAACAGGAGCGATCCAGCATTGGCCCACGGTGATCTGCAGAGTGAGCAGAAGCCTGGGCAGGGGGAGTGGGGAGGCAGCAGGCTCCCTGCTGCGCCTGCCCTCTGACCGTGGGGACTTTGCTGCCGTAGCACCTACTCTTGCATTTTAGCCCTTGGTTTGGATTGACTCAGGGGAGATTTCGATAAATATAATAAAAAATGTTGCAGATGACAAAAGGTGGTGCTAAAAAAGTGTGAGTGAAGAAGTGAGCGCAGCGTGTTGTGCTGGCATCTGAGGCAGGACCTGCCAACGCCTGGCTTGGCTCTGGCTGCGCCTGCTGCTTCCCCGAGGGCAGAAAAGCTGCTATTTTATGTGTCCCGAACCAAATTGGATTAAAACCAGGCAATGCAGCAAGTGAGACAAGCAGCTTAATCTGCCTACCTACAGTGAGGTAGGCAGAGCATCCCAGTGGATTTAGTTTAGTTCTCCTTTTTGGTTTGCAAGGAGATGCAGCAAGATTTTCTGATAATGTAGATGAGCGGATTTTCTACGAAGACAGTAAATTCCTTAACAGACCTGGCTTTCTGCTGGTTTATGAAGGAGAGAGAATGTGAGGAAGAAGAATTCAGGGAGAAGGAAGATGAGAGGAGGGAAAACAAAAGAACAAGCAAGCAAAACCTAGTTTTCTGTTGGGTTTGATTTGCATCAACTACCTGAACTAGTCAATGTGAAAGAACAGATTTCACTGCAGAGAGGGGTGGGGAGAAAGGGACAAGGTCTCCCCTGCTGGGATGGGCTTTCAGCTATTAGTAAATCCACAGTAAAGGCTTTTCCCAACTAAAATGTGAACTCAGTCTAGCTGCACCCCTAGCCGCTGCGGAGGTACCTGCAAAATCGAGCAGAGGGAGTCGCAGCACCTTCCCAGGGGCACTGCCCCTCTGCCGAGCTGCTGTCGTCCCCTGCAAGCGCTCCCAGCCCGCAACGTCAAGCGTGTCGGTGTAAACAGCCTCCCTGACTTAAGATAACACTATTTATCATTTATTTGCTTTTGAGATAGTTAAAGATATTTAGAGAGAATGCTGAGAAGGCAGAAATGCCTCGTGCTCCAATTACTTCTCTTTGGTAAAAAAGACAAGCTGTGCTCGGCTGAGCTGCGGGTGCCCCAGCGTGACAGAATGCTTGGGTGCTGTGGGGTGGGTGCCTGCAGGAAACTCTTTCTCCGGTCCAGGGGAGTTATCGATAAAGTCTTGGAGCCATAGCAGCATCTCAGGAACACCAGGAGGATGTGGGATGTTGCTCCTGTCCTGTCTCTTGCACAATAGTGCTTCTGAGTTGGGGGGGGGGAGGGAGTTTGGGGCGCTTTGCCCTAAAACGCTTGTCTAATCCTGGGGACAAACTTGGCAGGCAACAGGCAACTTCCAGCCTGTGCTGTTCAAGAGGAAAAAAAAAAAAGTCTCAAACTAATTTCAGTGATTATCTCAACCAGTGAAGCATAATTAATTTGAGGATCCAGGGGGTTTAGTCCCTCATCAAGTCCAATTTGGTGTTTCCTCCAGCAGCAGAGGTTGGGGAAGGGGGAGTGAGCCCCTCATGCTTGGCAGGGGTCAGGCTGGGAGCAGCACTGAGTGCTTGGGAGGACAGGAGCAGGACTGTGGCAGAACTGTGGCAGGATGGAGGGTTGAAAAATGGCTTTTTAATTTTTTTTAAAGTAAGTGCTAACTGTAACACAGAGCTGCATAATTATGGGGGAGCAAGAGGCTCTGGAGGAATGACCTGGGGTGTTGTGCAGCAAAGATGTGTCAACAGCATCACTCTGTTGTGAAAACCACAAATGTCACGTCAAGCTGGATGAAGAGTTGTGTGTAAGAGGCACGAAGCTCCCCTTGTGCTTGATGCTCACGAGGTTGAAGCCAGAATATTGTCTTCTGCTTGTCCACAGCTTCCTCAGAAGCTAAGTACTGCTAGGGCCCTCTGGTTCTTCCTTAACATGGATGAGTAACTGTGCTGCAGGACTCTGACCTAAGAGAAAAGCTGAAACAATGTGGGGCTGAACCTGTCCATGTTGTGCAAATAGAACATGAAATACCAGGCTCGTGCTGCTGCCTTGGTCATCAAGAAAAAGTGCTGAATGGTGGTGGTAATGAAGCACCCAACTGCGTTCTCTGCATTTGTTGCTGGAGACGATCATCAGTGGGGCAAGACAGGGCTGAAGTTCTGGGGGACCCATAG